CCCGTACTAGATTGGCGGTACGACCTCATCAATTCATTATTAGATTGGCTAGATATAACTGTAAGTTTTATACTAACAGTTCCTTCTCTCGAACTTCTCGCCTGTGGAAATCTCTCGCAGCTCCATGTTTTCCAGCAAAATTTGATCTTCAAAAATTTAAATGCAATGTAAATCGTTATTTACTGTCTTTTTAATTCTCTCTTTAATAGTATATTTTTCACGTATTCTCTCACACTTTGTAACCCTTTGCGTCTTAGTGGCTGTATTGTGTTGCCTGGGGTGAAATGATCAAAAAAAGATTTCGAGAAACATATGACTAAAAGCCAGAATAAATCCATCAGCGGATATCTATTAATAATTCAAGTATTCTTTCCCCCACCCTGTGTAGTGTATGAGAACACACGTGACCAGGTGGTTAGAACGTTCGATATCTGACCTTGCGACCCGGGTTCGAATCTCACCAGGGTCGACTGGTCAGGAAGGTAACTTCTTGATGTTATTGGTCTAGAGGAAGCGACACCTTTGGAAAGTGTCTGAAATAACATACCACGGGTTCACCCAAAAATTTTGAGTAAAATTGAGAAGACGGAACCCTTAGGTGGTTGTGCTAGCACGAAGTCACAAGTCATCGTGACCGAGAGATTGAGCGTGCTGGCTTAGTTCAGACTATTGATCATGCTAGATTAAACGCTCTCTCCCAGAAACTGTAACTATGGTCCGCTCCGAATAGTTGCAGTATAAAGTTGAAAAAACCCAAAGGTACCTGAGCATGAGTCTGCTACAGGGATTAGCTAACCCTACCAATAGACGGACGTCTTCGAACACGAGTGGCCAGCCACTTAGTGTATGAGAGGAACACTGTCTTTTGGCTGTCAAAGCCAAGATTTTAGGCATCGTCGAAAAGGAGATTAAAATAAAATTGAATTATATTAGCAGATGGTAACTATACTTACGTCTATTCCAATGTCGTAAATGCATTTTTCTGATTGTTGCTGGTTGTTTTTGTTAAAGCACTTGCTTCCATTTGTTTGGCCTTTTGAGCCGAATAGCTGCCCGGCTAATAATAAAAAAATGATCACAGTTGTTTCTTTTCAGATACAAGTGACTAGCCAATGTGTGTGAGAGGAACACTGTCTTTCTGCTGTAAAAGACAAGATTTTAGGCATCTTCGAAAAGGAGATTAAAATAAAATTGGATTATATTGCATGATGGTAACTATACTTGTGTCTATTCCACTGTCATAAATGCCATTTTCTGATTGTTGCTGGTTGTTTTTGCTAAATCACTTGCTTTCATTTGTTTGCCATTTTTAACCGAATTAATAATAAAAGAATGACGTTTTTCTTTCTTTTCAGAATTGCGCATTTTTCTTTGCATAACGACACGCAAGGGTCATTGGAAGTGTTTTGAGGGCCATGATTGTTAGACAGTTAGAAGAAGGATCCAGTGCAGAAGACATTGATGTATTTCTTGCTAAGTGAATAGGTTCTTTACTCAGTTTAGAAATGAAAGAAAAAAATGTGATCACAACGTTCTGAATGACCTGGATTGTGTTGCCTGGGGTGAAATGATTAAAAAAAGATTTCGAGAGAAATACCTCAGCCAGGTGTCTCCGATCAGTTCAGCGGTCTTCGAGAGCAATCCAAGTGAGAGGTCTTACAGTAAAGCAGCGCCTATCGATGTGAGTCACAAAACAGCCGTGAAGTAGATCTCTATCATTGGCTATCACGGAAGACGCAAGTCTTAGATCAATTCACCCAACGTTAAGAAAAGAGGCACAGTGGAGTAATGGATAGCGGCCTGGATTGAGGAATCGGAGAGGCGAGTTCGAATTCCAGTCGAATCCATTACATTCACTTACGTGCTAACACCCTTGGGAAAGGTGTGAATCCTCTTTCTTCTTCCCCCAGCTATGGGTAAATAGCAGGACAGACTGGGTTCTATAGCCTTGGATGGCAACTGGTCTAGGAGAAGGAAAACTCTGAATTCAAACCTGCTCTTAGATGAGGGTGAATGGAGTCTCTCTGAGCTTTGGTTGGCAATCCATTTAGTGATGGTGTTACGATAAAAAACACCCTTGATAGCCCTAGCGAAGCATCAAGAATTCAGCTATTTGACAAGATTATGAACTACACCAATCAATGTATTAGTGAGTTCAATCTCAGCTGAGGCCGAAAAGATGATGATAATGATGATGAAGAAAAGAATGAGTCAAAATTTTTAGTCTTCTCGGACTAATCGTCTTTTCCCCCTTTTCACTGCCGACGGACATATGTTTCTGGAGAAAACACGTTCAACCGCGTGCAACAAACAGTCGAACACGATGGAGTTTTAGCGATGGATTAGGGAGAGACTTAGAGTACTGCTAGTACGGACATGTTAGAATGCACTGGCAACATTAAAGCTGGAAATATAAGGAAACTGCTGCTAGCAATCAGCACGAGTTAACTGAAATCCGTAGGCCTATAGTAATAGAGAATATGCCTTTTAGAAGCTGAGGAAAGTATTAATAAGAACGTTTGTTCGAATATGGAAAACGTGCTGAACTACGATGTTTATATCTCATCTCTTACATCCCACAAATGAAGAAGACAAGAAACGATAGAAATGTGGTTCTACCGAAGAATGCTGAGAATACTATGGATAGAACATACGATTAATGAAGACGTTCTAAGTAGAATATGCATATCAAAGAAATTGATACTTACTATCAGAAACGGACAGATGAGATATTTCATGCACGTCATGAAGAAAATCAACTCTTTACCAAAGACGACAATGAGTTGAAGGGTTTCTTCAATACTGTAAAATGTTTCAGTGACGACATAGGTATGAACTTCGGATTAGATAAATGTGCAAAAGCAACATTCAAGAAAGGGAGAATTACAGTAGCACCCTCAATAATTTTATACTTTGTCACAAAGATTACTGAACTGGAACAACATGAAACCTATAACTACCTCGGAATTAGCGAAGGAGATTATATACAACATACACAAGTGAATGAGAAGGTAAGAAAAGAGCACTACAGACGTGTGCGTCTGGTACTGAATACCGAGGTGAATTAAAAAAAAACAGAATATCAGCCATAAACACCTTGGCTGTCCCTGTGGTGCAATAGCGATTTAACATCCTTAACTGAACCATAGCTGACATTAAGCGAATAGACACCAAATCGAAAAGGCTTCTCACTTGCTATCGCATGCATCATCCCAAAGTTGATGTTGATCGTCTGTATGTGTCCAGATCCGAAGGAGGCAGAGGATTAGTTCAACTAGAACTGTCTTACAAAACTACCATAATTGGCCTTCAAAGATACCTGGAAAGTACAGAAGACTGGAAGATGATCTGTGTCAAAGAACATGGATGTAGAAAGCAATTTTATTCCGTAATAAAAGCAGCCAACAAGCTCGAAATGGAGCAGAGATACAATTAAAGTACAATTCACCGATTGAACCTGCAAAGTACATAAAAAATAAAGCAAAAGCAAATGCAATCGACCAGATACAGAAACGGTGGTAAGATAAACAGCTTCACGGTCAATACTCTGCTCATACCAAACAAGTTGATGTAGACAAACCTCGTACCATTCAGTGGCTACGTAGTGCACGGTTAAAAGCTGAAACTGAAGGTTATATCCTTGCTGCACAGGACCAATGCTTGTCAACTAGAAATTATCAAGCGCATATATTAAAATATTGTGTTTGCCCAAAATGCAGATTCTCTGATAAATATCCAGAAACAATTGAACATCTTGTATTAGGTTGCATGGTATTGGCACCCACTGAATATGAAACTCGGCATGACAGAGTGGGCCAATATCTGCACTGGAAAATATGCAACTTCTACGGGAAGGAAACTACAAGAAACTGGTATAAAAACCATCAAGACCCGGTTACGGAGATAGGACCTATAACAATTTTATGGATAGCAGAACAATTAAAGAACAATAAAGGGAAACAGTGAAACCTATATTAAGAGTTTAAGAAAATGGATAGCAGAAAAAGGACAAGGAAGGTAAAATGTCAAAAGTTACTTAGAGCAACAATAAAGAGGGCATGGAGAATTTAACAAAACAGGATATATTGAAACCTCGAAAAAAATAGGGAAACAGAACCTACTTAACGAGTTTGAGTGAATGGATAACCTACTTAACGAGTTTGAGTGAATTGATAGCAAAACAAGGACAAAAAGAAGGAAGGTAAAGTGTCAAAAGTTACTTAGAGCAACAAGAAAGAGGACATATTGAAGGCAAGAGAAGTAGAGGGAAATTTAATGCCGCACTTAAGAGGACTGTGTGAATAAATGGCCTAACAAAGGCAAGCAATGATGGATTAGAAAAGACGTAAAGGGTCAAAAAAAGCAACAATAAAGAGGGCATGGAGAATTTTTTAATAAAGAAAAATTTTGTATGGATAGGCCATGATTTAAGTGAGGGAATGGAGAATAAATGAAATTGAAGGCAAAAAAGAAAAACGAGTTTGGGAATGCTGCAATGGAGCAACAATTGGAGAAATTTGAACAGATTCTTCTCATCAAAGGAAAGTGAGGTATCTGCCATTAAGGTAATCAAAGCTTTCAAATTGAAGTATTGTCGAAGTGAACATCGAATTGAAGTAATGGAACCTAATGATATCATGTCGTTTAGAAAAGCTGTTCGGAGCAATGGACGTAAAAATTAATTCCAGCAATTTCAACAAAAATTTGAGTGTGGCGCTTTGTGTGTTTAAAAGCCGCCCAGTACCATCAACAGCTCGCAATCAAACAAACACTTCGATAAAGAAAATACAGAAAAAATGCTAAAGTCAAGAACATGAGAGAAATTTCATTAAGTGACAGAAAAGAATACAAGCAAAAAAGCTTCCATCGTTTCATATTACAACGGTTTTCGTGTAAAATGAAATGGAAATTAGATTAAAATAATATTGATAATTCACTCATTTTCAACAGAAAGTACGCTGGTATTTTCACGTTCAATATTATTCATAGTTGAGTCTGCAATGTTTGCTTTAAGATCTATCTATCTATCTATCTATCTATCTATCTATCTATCTATCTATCCCGCCGATTCTGCTTATTCTCTCTCTCTCTCTCTATCTATCTATCTACTAGTTCTGTTCGTATCTATCTATCTATCTATCTATCTATCTATTGCCTATTCTGTTTATTTTCTATCTCTCTCTCTCTCTGTCTGTCTCTATCTATCTACCAGTACTGTTCGCATCTATCTATCTATCTATCTATCTATCTATCTATCTATCTATCTATCTATCTATCTATCCTATTCTGTTCATTTTCTATCGCTATCTCTCTATCTATCTACTAAAAAATTAATTCCAGCAATTTCAACAAAAAAGGTGGCGCTTTGTGTGTTTATCTATTCGTATCTATCTATCTAAAGAACAAATCTATCTATCATCTATCTATCTATCTATCTATCTATCTCACCTATTCTGTTTATTTTCAATCTCTCTATGTCTCTATCTATCTACAAGTTCTGTTCGCATCTATCTATCTATCTATCTATCTATCTATCTATCTATCTATCTATCTATCTATCTTGCTATTCCATTCTTTTCATCTATCTATCTATCATCTCATCATTCATCTATCTATTGGAATCTTTCTCTCTATCTATCTCTATCTATCTATCTATCTATCTATCTTAATCTTGTATTCTGTTTATTTTCGTCTCTCTCTCTATATTTGTATCAACTATTTCTCTCTTTATCTATCTATTGTCTTAAATAAGAAATCCCCCGCCGTCTGTTGTCACTATGCACATCCAGATCAAACTATTATTTTATATACTGCTTTTCTAGACAAGCCCTCTCGATACTTCAGTTATAATTCACAATTTCATAGCCCTATATTATCCAATCCGGGGTTCCTCGAGGCGGTGTAATGGTTAGCAAGCTTGGCTCGCTAGAACAATTACGACTGAGTAGTGAGTTCGATCCTCACTGGGTACCCCCTAATTTCGGCCTTGTGCCACATCTAAGCTACGCATGGACAATCACTATATTATCCAATTCACCTGGAAAATCTGCAGTACCTATATCTATCTAACATTCCTTTTGTTTGGCGGGTTGATTTTGTTTAGCGGCATATCAACACCTCTATGGGTTATGCCCTATACTACAGATAAAATGCAATGTTGGTCATTTTGCTTTAAATATATATTGTTGGTAGTCGTCGTCGTCGTCGGCATCCATCCGTCTCGAGAGACGATGGAGTAGCGCGGTTCGCTACGAGCCTGGGCGGGATATATGGAGAACTAGGGCTTCCCAGACGTCTAGTTCTCACTCTCTGCCTTGCTAGCAGAGTCCAAATGAGAGGATAAACCAATAAAGTTTGGTAACAGCACGGCTGCAGGAGTTGCCGGAAGGTAGCATAAAGTGCCGTCCATCTGCTTAGGGGCTCCACTCCGGGTTTGAATTCAGAGTTTTCCTTCTGCTAGACTAGTTGCCATCCATGGCTATAGAACCCAGTCTGTCCTGCTATTTACTCATAGCTGGAGGGAGAAGAAACGATTCACATCTTTCCCAAGGGCATGTAAAAATGTAATGGATTCGACTGGAATTCGAACTCGGCTCTCTGATTCCTCAATTCAAGCCGCTATTCATTACTCCACCGTGCGTGCTCATATTGTTGGTAATGTTACTATAAATAGGTATTGTTGGTAATTTTTCTATAAATAGGTGTTGTTGGTTTAATACGTTCATATCAAACTATATGGGTTATTCCATGCCAAAATCTAAACATCCCGCACACAATTTTATGCTTGTACATAAAAAAAACCAACTTGCAGGGGATACCGTGACAGTATCAAATATTTGTGAAAACGCTCGAGTGATTTATAGTGACTTTCAATTCAACAGACTTAGACTCACAAGATTCATTATAAAGCAACTCGTGGTTGGCTTGATAAGTTTAGGAAGAGATCTAGCATTCACCTTTTACATATGTTTATACTCTCAGGATAAAGTAATGTTTTTTGTTATATATACTTTGTAGATCACAAAATTCATTGTTGATTATTTTACTATAAAAGAGTATTTTTATATATTTTTTTAGTGTTGCCTTGATTGTCATTTTGCTATACCGTCCTGGATAAGACGATAAACTACATCCACGCCCTGGGTAGGATGATAAACTACATGTGCCTCCTGGATAAGAAGATAAACTACATCTGCCTCCTGGATGAGACGATAAACTACATCCACGCCCTGGGTAGGATGATAAACTACATCCGCGTCCTGGATAAGACGATAAACTACATCCGCGTCCTGGATAAGACGATAAACTACATCCACGCCCTGGGTAGGATGATAAACTACATCCGCGTCCTGGATAAGACAATAAACTACATCCACGCCCTGGGTAGGATGATAAACTACATCCGCCTCCTGGATAAGACGATAAACTACATCCACGCCCTGGGTAGGATGATAAACTACATTCGCGTCCTGGATAAGACGATAAACTACATCCGCCTCCTGGATGAGACGATAAACTACATCCGCATCCTGGAGAAGACGATAAACTACATCCACGCCCTGGGTAAGATGATAAAGTACATCCGACAGCAAGGTATTTGATTAGAAATTTTTGCTGAGCATAAAACTACCTCTTAATTGCTGATGTTCCCAGGTGCATCTTGACCCGGGGTGGTAGCACCCGTCAGGGTTCAAGTTATGGGCAAATATTTACCCTTCGCCAAAATGGGTCAAAACACTATGAAACTATAAAAATAGGTTTTATAACAGCAATACCTTTTTTGAAAAATTATTACCAGCAATAAATTTTTTGAAAAAAATATTAACAGTAATAAAAATCTTGTCGGCATTAAATAACCCATTGAGGTTGATATGCCGTAAAAGAAAACAAACCAAACCATTTTGCTATGGAAAATTATTATAGATATATTATTTATTACCAAAATATGCCGCTGATTTTTGTTTTGGGGTTTACTATTTGCCCATCGCTGGGACCCTAATAGGTGCTACCATCCCGGATCAGTGTGGACCTGGGAAAAACAGATATTAAGTATTGGTTCCAGGTTCCTCAAAACCGCCTATCTCTCGATCAGAGGCCTTGCTGCTGGATGTAGTTTACCGTTATACTCAGGATACCTCTTTCTTTGTAATTTGTTCTGCACCGTTTATTAACTTCTCTTAAATGTGTTTAGGCATTTACAGCGACAAATATGCAATTATAGGGTGGCCTTTTATTTTTTTTATTTTTTATTTTACTGACGTTAGTTTTGTCTGGAACAAGATTACCATAATAAAGCTCTCTGCATAGATTGAAGTCACTACACTAATACATAGTGGAGCCTCGATATACGAGTGACCCGTTATACGAGCGTTCCAAGTTACGTGGAGAAAAAAATGTTTTTTTTTTGCTTTAAGTTACGAGTTTGACCCGAGGTACGAGTCGAGCTGACTAGCTTTGATTTTGAAAATGGCGCGCAGCCCAGCCATCTACCAAGTTATCAGAAGACAAGCAAGCTCTGTTTCAGCCTCTCGCGCCAAGAATGACACCCACGCGGTTTGTTTCATTGTTTATCTCGTCGAGGACGGTCGTGGCGATTTGTAATCTGCGTTGTGTTTAGCTCATGTTTTGGGCAGTTATTTTGTCAAATTTCATTGTTGTAACACAACCATGAAGCCTAAGAAACTAAATAAAAAACAAACAAACAAAAAAACAGTGCTATGAAGAAGTGAGTGATTTCCCTTGAAATAAAACGCAAGATCATCGTAAAATATGAACATGGAGTACGTGTTGTTGATTTGGCAAAGGAGTTTTAGCGTAGTACTTCGACAATATGCACTATTCTTAAACGGAAGGATACACTGAAAACTATAACGCCAGCCAAGGTCGAAACGATTCTTCAAAGCATCGGACTCCTCTCCACGAAGAGATGGAAATGCTGCTATTGTTGTGGGTGCAAGAAAAAAAACAAAAAACAACTTATAGGGGATACCGTGACAGAGGCAATTATTTCTGAGAAGGCACGAGTGATTTACAGTGACTTGCAATTCAACAGACTTAGACTCACAAGATTCATTATAAAGCAACACGTGGTTGGCTTGATAAGTTTAGGAAGAGATCTGGCATTAATTTCGTCATGAGGCATGGCGAGGCAGCGAGTTCTGATAAGAAGGCAGCAGAAGAATACGTAAAATCTTTCGCTGAATTGACTGAAGAGGAAGGTCCCCCAACAAGTCTTCAAAGGCTTATTTTGGAAAAAAACGCTTAAAATTTTAAGGATATGGGAGGATTTTGTGGTCTTTAGAGAAAGAACATCCAGAAAAGTACCAGATAACCGTACATCTAAAACGAAAGAAGAATCAAGCAACCATGGATAGGTTTTTATTGAAACGACCTTCAGTTCAAAGTTAAGAAGATATGTCGAAAAAAATCGCGAAGGAGAAGCGAACGTCATTGATGACCTTGAAAAAAAAATCTAAAATGAAAATTAAGCGTTAACTAAAAAAATAATAATGTACGTAAATTTAAGTTTAGCGTTAAGTGAAAAAAAAAAACAAACAAAAAAATGTAACAAATGTAAAAATGTCGCGGCAAAAGAAAAATTAACTGTAAAAATATTTAGCAATTATGTTCATTGATAAAATGAATTAAAAAAATAAAAATAAATTGTACCAGTTAATAATATGTTTTATGGGCCAAAAAAAAGCTCCGCCATCTGTCTCCGTCAAGATCCACATTTCAATGTCTACCTTTTTACCCCCAACTCAAAGTTTAATTTACTGCTACCCCTTAAATATCATAGGTAAGCAAGCATATTTCAATATATTTGGAGCACTGTTTAATACTATTATATTCATTTATGTATTCTGCTTCATTTATACTGTAGCAAAATATATTTGTCATGTTTAAAAATATGTATAAAAAGTAGTGTGTTTTATTGGTGGACTTTATTGGTATATATATACATTTTTTCTCACCGGTGGCACAACGCTGAGTTTAATGTACGATGCAATCGTCAGGCGCATATTGACCGTTATAAAATATCAGTTATTTGCCATGCATGATACACGCTTAATCTTTTGATATCTGACTAAAGAAGAAAAATTTTTTCTAGCAGCTGTTCAGTAATTCTTCAGGTCTTCGATATCAGAGGTTGGCAGTGAAGATATTTTGGAGAAAGTAGCAGCTGTCAAGTAATTCTTCAGGTCTTCGATATCAGAGGTTGGCAGTGAAGATATTTTGGAGAAAGTAGCAGCTGTCAAGTAATTCTTTAAGTTTTCGATATCAGAGGTTGGCAGTGAAGATATTTTGGAGAAAGTAGCAGCTGTTAAGTAATTCTTTAAGTCTTCGATATCAGAGGTTGGCAGTGAAGATATTTTGGGAGAAAAAACAAAATGGCTGCCTTTAAACACGTTGGATTGAATATTTTGAGCTTTCTGATTGGTTACCCCTTCTCTTGGTGGACTATAATATGAGTCAGCTCATTTTGGTTGGCTCACTAGTACTAAAGGGTACCCAAAAATTCCAACACTTTCTGTGGTAGACCAGTTGCCATTCAAGGCTACAGAACCCATTCTGTCCTGCTATTTACCCATATCTGGGGTGGGGTGAGAAGAAGAGGATTCATACGTTTCCCAAGGATATTAGCATGTAAATGAATATAATGGATTCGACTG